CTTAACAGCAACCCAGAATAGTGGGTACTTATATCTTATAATAGAAGATAACAGAAGGGTCTAGGTAAATTGTAAATCCGAAGCCTGAGGCCTTGCAACCTGTTTTGGGTAAGTAGATTTAGGGTTTAGGGTTCGGGGTCTAGGGTTTGGGGTTCAGGGTTTGGGGTTTAGGGTTTGGGGTTTAGGGTTTGGGGTCTAGGTTTTGGGGTTTAGGGAAAGCTCCGCGATGTCCCAGCCTCTCCGAATCGCGCTCTTAGCCGATCGGTAAGCAGGCATATGCGCGACCTCGAGGATACTGGCGTAGCTTTGGGGAGCCCAGAAACGCTTGGGTTTGGGATTTAGGGATTCAATATCTATGGCTGTACAGGGACTCTACAGGGACTAAGGACGATAACAAATCGATAAATATTTTCAAATCTACCCCCTGTAAAGGGGGAGCTTGCTCAAAATGGCTCTATGCCATCTCCAAATCAGATGCATATGAAACGCAGTCCAGATTTCCTACAGAATTTAATGGACATGGGCTCCTTATTAGGGACTGTATTCTGGACCATACTCAACTACAAGAGGGGCCGCTATGTCCACGATGAAGGGTCCCGTGAGAAGGCTAATCTTGACCGTAGCTCATGTAACCGACTCCCTGTCCCCATACATCCTATGGGCTCCTCTGATACCACGCGGTCAAGGGTTTAGGGTAGTTTAGGGTTTAGGGAGAATTCTCCAGTTTCAGATTTGGTGGTGTACAGGGGTTGAAGATGCCTTGCAAGGAGTACATACTATGTACCGCCTTGTCTGGAGTTCATCCTAATGTCAAAACCATGGGCCGCTAGTATGAACCCTTAACACTGGGGTTCTTTTCCACCTATCACATACCCTATATACCCTTGAGGGTCCCTAGAAGCTCCAAAAGGGCTAAGAGCCCAAGATAGGGGCTCGTATATGAAAACTCAGATTCCTAACCTCAGATTCAGAAGGTTGCATGCAGAATCTATGGTCATCCTCTACTCGAGCCTCTAGAAATCCAGGCCAAACACTTGGGGTCCATACTGGGGTCCACCTATTGAGGGAACTACTACCTGAATAATGCAAAGGTACTAAGTTGCAAAGGGGCATGTTTAGTCTCTCTTGGGTTCAGGTGCCCACTAGAAACCCAAGACCCCAAACCGCCCAGCGCCGCTTAAGTTGGCATTTGCCCCGCTTCAAGTGCCGAGACCCGGCGAGCAAGATCACCAGTGTTATGCGTAAGCTGCTGCCGCTGATACTCGTGGTTGCGTAGCCATGCCGCTGCTACCGCATGAGGCTGCGCCCTTCGTGAGGTCATCCTCGTAGGGATGAGCTGACGAACGCAGGCACTTCTGGCTAAGGGAAACCCTAAACCCTAGACTCCTAGACCCTGCCCCCTAAACCCTAAACCCCAAAACCCCCAAACCCTAAGCCCTAAACCGTAAATCCTAAACTCAAACTTGGGTACTGCCCCCCTCAGTAACAGTTGGATAATAATTGTAGTATGTTTATATATAGCCCTTAATAGGACCCCCAATATAGACTGTTACGGGAAGGGGGGCAGTACCCAAGGCCCAAACCCCAAACCTTAAACCCCAAGCCTACATACCCTAAACCCTAAACCCTAAACCCTTAAACCCAAAACCCTAAACCCTAAAACCTGAAACTCAAACCCTTAAAAAGGAAGAAAGTCTCGGCGAAGTTGATCAAAGCAGCTCAGGAGGATCCCGAGCCCCAGAATCGGCTTCAGGAGCTTACTGGTGGGTAGTGACCCCTTGTAGGGTTTAGTGTTTAGGGTTTGAGGTTTAGGGTTTAGGTTTGGGGCTTTGGGGTTTAGGTTTGGGGGGTTAGGTTTTGGGGTTTAGGATTCAGGGTTCGGGCTTAGTTTTAGTGGTCCCTACATGACCCCTGAGAATACTCCCTGTGAGCCATTCCTTTGTTCCTAGTATACCCACTACCGCTTACCCACAAATTCCGCTGCCGCTCGCTCACAACTGAGAGAGGTACCTTGGAATTTCGCACGGGACTGACTGGTAGACAAGCACAACTGTTTCCGGAGACGTCTACCTGTGACCCATGTACCTACAGCTTCACATGGCAGACATAGCAACTACCCCTTATTTAGTAGGTGTAACAAATAAAGCTTTGGGTCGGGTGTGTGGGGGGTTTTGGGTTATAAGGTTTAGGGTTATAGGGTTTAGGGTTTTCAGGTAAATCATTCCCCTTGTCCTGTTGATTCCTCTTCATTGACTACACGTGGCCAGCCCTCGAGCGGTTAAAGTTATATGGGGACTATATAGCGGTTTAAATAATGGGGTTTTAGGGCCCAAATACTATAATACTAATGGTATTTGGGTCCTAAAGCCCTATTATTTGGGTAATTAAGCTCTTCCAACATGTTTCAGGATTCCTCTGACAAGACTCACTGGCGGTTCAGAGGACGCTGTGCTTTATTGTGTGCCTTGCGGGGTTCTTACCAGTTGTACCTGTGCGGTATAAGACTGTTGGGGTTTCTGGATGTTTCTGGGTTGCTGTATGACGCCTCTGCAGGGCTTGCGCGGTAACCAGATGTAAATACTGATTTGCGGGTGGTGCTTGCAGGACAACGCTTCCATAAAGGTGCTCAAATCTACAGCACACCCTTTCTATGACAGCCATCTAGAGAAGCCGATTTCGCTCTTAATTAACCCAGAACCACTACCCTGCGGCGAAACAGATCCCCGCCTGGGCGTACAACAGTTCGTGAACCCAGAACATTGAAGCATAAGCGCGGAAGCCTCTACTACCCCCGTATCCCCGAACTTTTTTCCGGGAAGGAGCAGTTGAAGCGTTTGGAAGTCCAGTTAACAAACATCTTGTACGGAAGCTTCCAGACATCAGCGGACGCCAATGATACACAAGAAATGTGGAGCAACGCTCCAACTCTTCATCCCGAACCCTAGTCTATATAACTTGCTCCGCGGACCCTAACCCCTAAACTCAAGCCCAAGGCCCGGCCCCTACACCTAAGCCGTGGGCCGAAGACCCAGAAAAAGACGCAACGTCTTGGGCCGGCACACATTGTTGTTCTGCGAACAGATGAAGCTGAATAGCGTCTCAATCGGATCCTTCTGCTCTTTACGGGTTTAGGGTTTGCTTATGTGGGTTCTAGGGGTAATATCATACAAGGTCTGGGGTTTGGCGGTTAAGAAAGGGGATACTCAGCAAATGCATGCTCAAGCAGTGAAGCCTGCCTGTCCAGGTGTCCTGGAAAAGAATGGCGCATAGGGAGGTGTTGGGGTTGCGCGTCGCTCTTGCCCTAAGGGTTCTAGGACCCAAATACTAGGGTTTTAGAATCCCAAATGGGGGTCAGGTTATAATATTTGGGCCCTAAAGCTCCATTATTTGAGTCCTTAGACCAAGTAGGGTTATCGCTCAACTCTAAACCCTACACTTCTCACTCTTATCCTCCCACTTGTGCTCGGTGGAGAAACGGTGCGGCAAAAAGCCGCAGCCCAGCACCTTTCTGGGCTCTGCTGGAGAACTTTGTCAATGTAAATCTAGGTTCCCCAGTAAACCCTAAACAATAAGGGTACCCTTTTTCCTACTGTTCTGTTTGAATAAGGAGGCCCCCAAACAAAAAGGGCAAAAGGGTACTACTGGGGTACCTAGAAATACTAATATCTTTCTGTAAATGTTATGACTATCAGACCCCAAGGCTCCAGTTACCTAAACAATGGGTTCTGGGTGCCATACATAGCCCAGTAACCTACTATGTAGGTAACTGGGAGCCCTAGGGATAATTACCCCAGAGGGTCCACATCTATAGTATGGTATTTTGGGGCCTAATTCCCTAGTTGTACATATGGACCCTCTGGGTACTACACCATTATCATACTGCTTGAATGCAGCTGTGTCAGTTAGCGCGGCCACCGCTTCCAGCCTTGGGCTGGCCGACCCCTTGGGTTTGGGGTTTGGGGCTTTGGGGTTCAGAGTTCGGAGTTTGGGAGTTTAGGGTGAATTTAGAACCTCGAGTTTAGGGTCCATGGTCGTCGCCCTCAGCCCTGAAACTTCACACTTTCTCATGTAAGGATACTGGCAAATATGTTTTTCAATACTCCCAGTCATACTCATCTCATCTCAATCTGAAGGTGCCCGGTCATACACCTCCAAGTACCCCCCCATGAACCCCGGATGTTGTCAGGTTGTCAGGATAATGCGGGGATAACATTCTTGATGATTCCGCCCCCTGCATAGCGCACCTGCAAACTGCAGGGGTGTAGGGTTTAGCACAGCTGCAACAACACTTACACGGGGCCGCACAGCTTTTCTTGAATGGATGGACCTTGAACTCTACACCCTGATACATCTTTATCCGACAGTCGTTCCCGTCCCTGCCGGATGGATGGGTTTTGAACACCAAGTGGCATGGTCTCTAGCTCTGCTGCTGTCAGCGCCATCTTCCGGATCACCCCAGGAGACCACGGATCCATTGTCCAATGGCCGCAAAAACACGTCTGGTGGAAGGGATTCGCTGGACATCCCTCAGCTGCTGGCTGTCACCACCATATGCCAGATCACCCCAGATAATCACAGATCCATTGTCCAGAATGGCTGCAAAAAGCGAGGACAGTGGCCTGGATGTGCTGCACGTTCCTCAGCTGCGTCTGGACTCTGCTGCTGTTACACCACCATATCGCGGATGACCCCAGGTGACTACAGATCCATCGTCCAGAATGGCCGCAAAAGCCCAGAAAGCAGCCTGGATTTGCTGCACGTTCTTCAACTGCTCCTGAACTCTGCTGCTGTCACCGCCACTAACCGCAATCCCCCACGTAACCACAAATCCGTTGCCCAGAACGGCCGCAAAGGCAGCATGAGTCGCCTGGATCTGCTGCACGTTCCTGAGCTGCTCCTGGACTCTGCTGCTGTTACCACCATATTGCGGATGACCCCAGGTGACCACAGATCCATTGTCTAGAATGGCCGCAAACGCAGAGCTAGTAGCCTGGATGTGCTGCACGTTCCTCAGTCGCTCCTGGACGTCGCTGCTGTTACCACCATATTGCGGAAGACCCCAGCTGACCACAAATCCGTTGCCCGGAACGGCCGCAAAGGCAGCATGAGTGGCCTGGATATGCTGCACATTCCTCAGCTGCGTCTGGACTCTGCTGCTGTTACCACCATATTGCACCATTTTCCGGAGAACCCCACGTAACCACAGATCCATTGTCCAAGATGACCGCAAACGCAGAGTCAGTAGCCTGTATATGCTGCACATTCCTCAGCTGCGTCTGAACCGTCCTGCCGTCAACACTGTATTGCGGATGACCCCAGGTGACCACAGATCCATCGTCCAGAATGGCCGCGAAAGCCCAGCGAGCAGCCTGGATTTGCTGAACCTTTCTTAGTTGCTCCCGCACTCTGCTGCTGTCACCGCCGAAATCCGGACGACCCCAGGTGATCACAGACCCATCATCCAGAATAGCCGCAAAAGCACTATCAGTAGCCTGGATGTGCCGCACGTTGCTCAGTTGCTCTTGGACTCTGCGGCTGTGACCATACCAAGTCTCAACAGACCCATCGCCCATGATGGCAGCAAATGAGTTCTTGCTGCTTGCCAGCCGGGTCTGCCGCACTTGCAGGGTCAAAGAATCTCCGCCCACCGTCTTCCGTTCATCCAAGATTCGCCCCGTTGAATCCAGTAGGACCCCCAAGCTAGTCTGCAGCACATTTTGGGCCTGCAACCTCACATACCTCAGAGGATGATCTGTGCTGGCCGAAATCTGCGCACCCTTGCCGCTCACCAGAACCACCTGGATAGAATCGTTCGCCATGGCTGCAAAAGTGGGGCTATCTATTAAGATCTCCAACAGGCTTAGATAACACACTCTAAAATACAAACTCGCATGCGACGCTTTAATCTGGTGCAGGCCTTTCAGAAGACTATGTGTGGTTGACAAGTGGTTGGCTGGATTGCTTTGATCTAGATGGGGGTTTTCCATCAGGAAGCTTCCTGGTACTTTTTAGGGTGTGGGTTTAGAGTCCAGGATTTAGAATCAGGGTTTATATAGGGTGTAGAGTTCAGGGTTCAGGTTCAGGGTTATGGTGGGGTTGAATCCCGGTAGCAGTCCCTATGAAATCCTCTGTAAAAGCCTCTATCTCGCTTTCCACGGGCCCAACCACACACAAAGACAAGGGGGGCACCATCCAATCTTGTGTGATCTATCAAGTCCTAAACTCTAAGCCCTAAACCCTAAACCCTGAGCCTACCTAGTAAGGTCTTAGCCAAACCGGTGGCCTTCGCTTCCCTGCTAATCTCCTTGCTTAGGGTTTAAGGTCTGAGGGTTTAGGGCTGAAGACTTTAGGGTTCGGGGTCTAAGGTTTTGCTTAGGGTTTCGAGAGATAGGGTTTAAGGTCCCTAAACTTACGCTAAAGCCCTGAACCCTAGACTCTAGACCCTGGTTGTTATTGCAAGGCATTGTGGGTGCAGGTAATTGGTGAGGGGCATACTTGCTTTGACTTGATTTTACGATCCCACAGTTACTTCGCATTTAGCATCCTTCTTCTCGATAGAATCTGCAAGATGGGATTCTGGGAAAGATGGGAGCAAGCAGTAATGATGAGGGACGTTGGGGGTAGTTGGCACGTCGAGGATCATGTGGTAGTGGAGATTCGGGGTACCTATAGTCGTCTGAACTTAGTGAGTTAGTGATGGAGATAACTGGGGCTTATGTGGCGTACAGCGGCTATAGGTATACTTACTAAGCCGCCCCGAGCCCGCACAAGTAATTCCTAAGCTATAATCCCACGCCTACCGGCGATCCTGCTGAAGCACACGAAGTCCAGAAAGACACCTGCGCGGAGTTATGCAGGACAGGCTGCACCGTACTAGGGGTCACAGGTTTAGGCCTCCAAGGGAATTAGTGAGGAGAACCTACTTGCGTCAGTCAATGATTATTCAGGGTGATACCATACTAAATAAAACAAGAGATAATTCCTCAAGAGACCATTTCCAAAAAGGGTATTACAGGGATCCACTCCTCCATGCCCTACTAAGATCCAGTAAGACTCCTGCACATGGTGGGTTCAAGCCCTAGAGAGATTGACTGTGCCATCTTAGGCGGACCCCCCACCCTGGAATAGTGGCATAATAGGAAGCAAGAGAGGACTCGAATATAATCGCCATTATCACTTATGGTCACCTGGGGGTCCGCCTAGCTACTATCTTTGGCTTGCACATGCTAAACAGGCGGCTGCATTGCAAAAGAGAAGTGCTGCTATCAATACTGCGCAGGCATGCGCGTGTTTCCAAAATAGCGTGCCCCAGTACAGGCCCCCCCCAATCAGTGCAATCCTCATACTTTGAACCCCTGAATCATCGAAGCCCTAAAGCCTGTATGTTCCTATAGAACTATGTGTCCCTATGTATTTCTACACAGCCCTGCACACACATACGTGGATAAATGAACATATTATATATATAATATGTATACTTATGTACTTATCCCCGTTATCTGACAAACCTCTATCGAGGAAACTCGTTAGCGAACCGCCTCCCAAATTTGGTGGCATGTTAACACCTAATATAATAGACCTACATCAATACACAAGGTCCGCGAGTGCTATGCTGAGACATTTTTTCAACCCTAAAGCCTAAACCCCAAAACCATATATAATTCCTATATAACCCTACAATCTAGTAGCTTCTAGATGCCAAAGATTGCCGCTGCATTGCTGCACATGAAACCCCTTTTCTTACCTTTGGTTAGCTGGGAATGAATAAATGGAAAAGTAAACAGATGGACAAATACTATACGGGGCTATACAGGAACTACTATAAGGATTCATTCTAGCGAACCAAAGGCAAGTGTTCGTCCTCACGCCTGGCAATGCGCTTCATTCGCTCACATCGCGCGCCCCACTTTTCAAAGAGCTCTGTCAGCGGCGGCGCAGGGACCTGGATCCCAAAGTGTCCTAAAATACGCCTTACTTAGGGCTTAGGTTTAAGGTTCGACATATACATACAAGATGGTCCGTAGAGTTTCGTCCTTGTGGCTCTGGGGGTTGAGGCTCAGTTGAGGTGTCTCTGACGACTTCAGGGTTTAGGATGCAGACGACGCTGAGG